GAAAATATTCTATAAATGTGTAAAGTACAATTGGGGCAATATTCAACTATAATAATTGTGGGTATTGAAGGCAAAATTAAGCTACTTGGTATTAATTGGTAATTACTTTTATTGGCATAGAGAGTTTTTATACATTGTCAGCTATCAAAGTGAAATTGATTTCTGTTTCTATAAAAATACCTGACACCTGTAAAATGCTTAATAGTCTACAAATGTTTATACACATTTCCTTATTTAACCATTGGAACAACCCTGTGTGAGGCAGGCAATATTATCTCTGCTTTACAGATGAGGAATTGGAGACTTGGTTCATAGGATTTGCCCTGAACCATACAACTATTAAATGGTATGCTTTGAATTTAGTTTTGGCTCTTTTGATCCCCCCAAACTTATGCCCTTCCATACCATAATGCTGGTGATCTAAAATTTAGCAAGCTAGATGAGAATAGGCCCAAGACACTGTGGCATATTTCTCCTCAGCATTTTAGGAGGACTCTGTGTTCTTTGTTGACCTGGGTGATTGATTGATTAGAACTAAGTGTCTTATGGTGATGAGCCGTCAGTATCTCAGAAACCTGACTGCAGTGGGCTCTGCTTAATGTGACTGTCAGATTTTCATTGTTTCCTGGGGAAGTAATATAACTTATTAATTGCAGGAAATTATAATATGTTTTAGTCTTAGGTTTGTGTAAAAAGATTAGTAAGTACTTGGATTATTAACTTTATAGGTATGACTCTAAAACAATTTCAGCATGTTGTATTCTTTTCAAATTAATGAGAATAGGCATTTTCTGGACTATTAGTGATAGGGAAACTGCATTTCCAAGGATAGATTTTGGAGAAATCAGGATCCATGCATAAGGGTTTATTAGAAAAAAAAGAGTAAGTATTGACATTAACTCAAGAAAACTCATTAGTAGTCTAGAAATTATTAGAAACTTTTTTTTTTGTACTATAACCAATGAGAATTGTAATTTTTGGTTAGTATTACAGGTGATTCTTGTAATTGTAGTCAACAATCATTTTCTTAAGAAATAGTAAGGAGCAAAACATGTCTGTTTTTCCTATTAAATAGAAAAAAAACTCCATCACTTTTGAAACTAATAAAAGTATAATTAAAAAAAATTTGAAAAATTGTGGGTGGTAATCATCAATTTTCAGTAGGTTTGAAGTTTTTTAAATGAAAAGTTACCAGTGTATTTACCAAAATAAAAAATAATTTTTAAAAAGTTACCAGAAATAATCTCACCAAATGCAAAAACCAGACAAGTAATAACACAAAAAAGAAAGAAAATTACATACCAGTATGGCTGAAGAACATAGCTGCAGAAATCCTCAACAAAACACTATCAAATCAAATTCAACAATACATACTATGACCAAGAGGGATTTAGTCTAAGGATGCAAGGTTCAACATATGTAAATCTGTTAACGTAATATATTATGTCAACAAAAGGCACAAAAAATGGTCATATACATAGATGTAGAAAGAATTTGATAAGATTCGGCACCCATTTATGATAAAAACTCTTAATAAAATGGGAATGAAAGGAACACACCTCAACTTAGTAAAGGCCATGCACTACAAACCCGTACCTAATATTGTCAATGGTAAAAAAAATTAAGCTTTTCCTTTAAGATCAGGAACAAGAAGATTATCCACTCTCATCACTTCTATTTAATTTAGTGTTAGAGATTTTAGCCAGGGCAATTAGATAACAATAAGAAATAAAAGGAATCCAAAATAGAAGAGAAACTATCATTATTTATAGATGATATGATTGTACATATATAAAATCCTAAGATTTTATTAAAAAAACTAATAGAAACAATAAGTGTAGGCCACAAAATCAATATACAACACTCTGTTGTATTTCTGTATGCAAACAATGAGCAGGAAGAAAAATATTAGGAAAACAATTTTATTTATAATCGCATCAGAAAGAATTAATTACCTATGAATACAACTAACAAAGAAGGTGAAATAGCTGCACAACAAAAACTACAAGTCACTGTTAAAAGATAAAGAATAAGACCCAAAGAGATAAAAAGATATTCCATGTTCATGAATGGGGAAAATTAATAGTAAAAATGTCCATCTTACAAAAAGCAATGTGCAGATTTAATTTGTAAATTGCACATTAAAGAAGCTTGAACAAAATACTAATATGTATATTGAACCACAAAACCTCCAAATAACTAAAGCAATCTTGAGACATCATATTACCTGGACTAAAAAGTAGCCACACATATCACTAGAATAAAATCAAGAGTCCAGAAATCAACACACACGTATATCAACACTTAATCTATGAGAAAAGTGACATAACCTGACAGTGGAGAAAAGAAAATCTCTTTAACAAACTGTCAGAAAAACTGGACAGCCACATGCAAAAGAATGAAACTGGATCAATCTTTAATACCATGCACAAAAAATAAATTCAAGATGGATTAAAAACATGACTGTAAGACCTAAAGTCATAAAATATATAGAAGAAAACATAGATAAATACTTTTCATGATATCGGTTTTAGAGATGTCTTTGGGGATATCAACAGCAAGGAAACAAATGCAAAAGCAGACCATTGGAAGTACATTAAATTAAAAAGCTTCTGCACAACAAATGAAAATATCAGCAGAACAAAAAGACATTCTGCTGAATGGGAGAATATGTTTGCATAGCATACATCCCATAAGGAGTTAATATCCAAGGCATATAAAGAACTCATGCAACTCAGTTACAGAAATACAACCCAATTAAAAAATGAGCAGAAGATCTGAATAGTTACTTCAACAGACATACAAAGACCAACATGAACATGAAAAAATGCTCATCATAACTTATTATTAGGGAAATGCAAATTAAAACCATAATGACATATCACCTCACACCTATGAAATAGCATACATCAAAAAGACTATTAACAACAGCACTGGCAGGGTGTGGAGAAAAAGGAACCCTCATACACTGTTGGTGCGAATGCAAATTGGTGCAACCATTTTGAAAAACTGGATAGAACTTCCTCAAAAAATTAAAAATAGAACTGCTATTTGATCCAGCAATCCCACTTCTGAGTAGCTATCTGAAGAATATTGAGTTGAATTATTCATCAACATGAATAATTATATGCACTACAATGTTTACAGCAACATTATTTACAATAGCTAAGATAAAGAATAAACCTAAGTGCCCACTAATAGAAGAGTAGATAAAGATGTGACATATATACATAATTGGGATACTATTTAGCTAGAAGGGAAGATGAGTTTGCTACTTGCAACATAATAAAAAGAACTTGAGGGGGTTGTATGAAGTAAAATATGTCAGGAAATAAACACAAATATTTGATGATTTCACTATAGATGGGATGTAAGAAACAAAGCAGATGAGCAGAAAAACAAAACAAAACAAAAATAAACCAATGGACACTGACAACAGAACTGATATTACCAGGGAGGAAGAGGGTGAGAGTAAGAGTGGAGGGATTCTATTGGGTTGTGATGAATTTAAATTTTTTTTTTTTGTAAATAAAAGCAAAACAAAAACTAAAACAAATTCTCCCCTCCCCACCAAAAAAAAAAAAAAAATTGCCTCAAATGAACAGCAATATTTTTTAGATTATCGGTGGAAAATACCTTTGGTATTAATATCTTTAATTTTCTGTTCCTCCTCCCCTGATGTCCAGGGCTAACTGCACTTTAATTAAGACTGAATTAAGCAAGTCAGTGACCTGCTCCATTGTGTTCAGTAGGGAAAGATCTTCTCACAAATATTGATTACAACTTTGGTTGCAGAGTTCTTCATCACATTTAAGTTGTCCAGTTTATTTTTCTCAATCTTGAAGTTTCTTTTCCATGAAAAGTTCAAATTTGGGTTAAATATTCCCACACCTGATCTTTGGTAGAATCTTTTTCCCTACTTTTCGAAATTGTTGAATTATGACCCTAATTAACTGTGTGGTTGTACTCTTAGGCTGTTTATCGCTTTCATTTTAGAAAAGGTTATCAAACAAAAAAAAAGAGATTTTAACAATAAGAAATGTCACTGACAACTGACTCTGTGCTTCGTGTGTAATAAGCACCCTGTGGCAATTTCTTGGACCAGTGATGAATGATGAATCGATGGCTGATGTTAATTACTTACCACCTCCCAAACCCTTCGACTAAGCACTTTCTGTGTGTTCCTGGTGAGCCCTTGTGTGAACCACCCACCTCAGCACTTACCTATTGTTATTGTCCACCAGCTCTCTTTTGTAAGTCCCCTACATGAGAGGTGCCCTTCAAGTAGATCATGATCAACTAGCTAGTACTTGGTATTTTTGCTGTTTGGACAGGTTTGCATAATGTCTTGTATGTGTAATGTTTCCAAGCATTTGTTTAACAATTAAAATAATAGCAATCAATAGAACATATGATCAAAAGTAGATGTTTAAATAGTAATTCCGTTTGATAATGGAATATGTTATATGAATTTCTCCACACGGTTTTGGAGAAAACAGGGAAAATTCCTGCTTCTCATAACAATTGAGTGGTATTCTTTGGAGAGACATTACTTAAAAGCTTTTATCTTTGGATTTAAAAAAGCCATAATAGTATCCCATTAGACATCACTCGTTTATCTGATACGTTGTATAAAAAATTTTTATATTATCACCGTTTTTATATATGTGACATATACCATTGACATTTTAGAAATACAATCTGCTTTAGGAATATAATATATTTTAATTGTTTCAACCTATCTTTCTATAGAGTATAAGTTATGAGGGAAGAACCCCGTGTGGCTCACTGCTCTCTCTGTGCATCTAGAAATATGCCTGGCAGGGAGTAAGCACTCAGTAAATGTTATAATTAAAAACCACACAAAAAAATTGCTTTTTAATAAAAGGCTTATTGGGGTCTAATTTTATTTGTAGGTTGATGAATGTTCTAGTTTAATTTAAATAGTCTTAACTAATTTTTAATAATTGGAAAAACAGATCTTACTTTTCTTTTTTTAGGAAGAATCCTCAGCACAAGATAGAATATAGACACAGTACACTTCCAGGTAGGTAATTTTCCTTCAGGAAACTCAAAATGAAACCTTCAAGTTATTCTCTTATTAAACCTAGGTAGTTTCCAATTGTGAATATTTTTTTATCTTTGTTTCTGTGAATTTATTAAGTTGATAATTTCAGTTTTTCTTAGGTTAAAAAAAACTATAAAACTTTCATATAACAAAGTTTCTGCCATCATTGTCTAACAATATATGTTTGTCCTTGTATCTATGAGGATTCTTTTGTTTGCAAGTACCTAAAAACAAAATATCAAACTGACCTAAATGATAATGAGTATTTATTGACATCAGTACTGAAAAATACAGAAGTAAGGCTGAATTTAGACAAGATTTGTTGCTTGGACTCATACAAAATGTCAATAATGTCACCAACAACCCAATTTCCTTCTGTCAGTCTGTCTTTAGAAGGGTCATTATTATCCTAAAGCTGACTTCTTTCCCCATGGGATAGAGAAAAAACAATGTTCACTCTTACTCATTTGGGAGGATAGGCACCTGTGTTTACATCAAAGAAGAGGGAGAATGAATACTTTAGTTGTTACTGACCCTAAGAAAAATCACAAAATTCACTTTTTAAAGTTGATTTAGGCCTCATTTTTACTCTTGACCCAGTCACTTTCACCACTGATTAATTTGTATCACTTCTGGAGCCAGGTAGCCCAATAGAAACTAATGTTTTGGGGAAAGGAGAAAGAGGAATAGAAACTAGGAAGCAACTATTGATTGTCCATCTGTCCTGTTTACATCAATTCATTTTACCTTCTGTTTCCCCTCCTTCCAAAAGCTATTATTTTTTCCCCTTTAACAAATTCTGGCTTCTTTGTATCATTTATGTCAGTAGCCAATTCAGCATGCACTATTGAGAGAAAAAGAATAAAAATGTGTAATACTATCCAGGCTATGCCCACATATGTTTGTATACACTAACCTTTAACCAAGTGATACAAAGAATTAATTTCACCATAAGGGAATTCCATTTGAGATTTCTTTTTTTTTTTTTTTAATATTTATTTATTTATTTATTTATACAAGCACTGGGTACAGTCAGAAGCGCGGGAGGGTGAGAGAATTCACCAGAGCCAGAGCGAGAGCAGAACAGGCAGACTGACGAAGTACACTGCTGAGGGGAGCAGCGGGCATGGCAGGAGGGATCTGCGCGCCATGTGGGACCCTCGCCCAGTGGCCAGGGATCGAACCGGCACTGCAGAGGCTGCGGGCAGCTTTGCAGCCCAGCACTCAACCACTGCGCCACCGGGGAGGCCCCCATTTGAGATTTCTGATTGAAATACAACTTAGTGCTTTAGTACTCCTGAGACAAATATTCAGTGCTCATTTTATCTGAGTCATTATGGTATGGAGGTTATATATTTCTCTTATACTTTCATTCTTGATTGCATTTATAATATGGAATATTTAAAGTCTAATTGTCAGCATTTAAAATACTGTCAAGTCATTAATGTGGCACCACTAACAGGACATAGAGCTGAATTCCAGAGCTGACTTTTCCCTTGTCATGATATTGACTTTTCAGGTGCTTTTACCTAAAGCACAATGTGCCTGTTACTGCTCCAGCAATTTCTGTATGATGATATTATTAGATTCTGAACCTTCCATGAAAGGCGCATGAATGTTCAAATGTAAATGACAATTTGAGGAATCAAATGGGGTTCTTCTGATTAATGTGGCTGATGGTTTCAACAGATAAGCCTACCCATTAAATTTCTAAAGAAATTCAGGGTTCACTGAGGCTGAAGCCTCCTTCAATTAGCAGAATTTAAACAAGACTATAATACAATTCCCTGTGTTGATAGGCAGGCTAGTGATCAAAAGTGTAGGTCATAATAAGAAGGGTTTCTGTAAAACTAAAGGTGATTGTTGATTTTTAAGTGGTTCATTTGTTCATCCATTCAACAAATATATATATACTAAGTTCCTTATATGTGTTAGGCACTATTGTAGGAGCTGAGAATAAGGTGAAGACAATGGTACTGTGCTCCTGCAGAATTTAACCGAGGTGGACAGTGCACATGAAATAATTATATGATGTCACGAGTGATAAGAAAAATAAAACTGTAGGGACGCCCTGGTGGCACAGGCAGTTGAGTGCTGCGCTGTGAAGCTGTCCGCAGCCTCTGCAGCTCTGGTTGGATCCCTGCTGGTGGGTGAGAATCCCACATGGCTCAGCAGACCTCTCTTGTCTTGCCTGCTGCTCCCCTCAGCAGTGTATTTCGTCAGTCTGCCTGTTCTGTTCCCTGCTCTGTCTCTGGTGAATTCTCTCACCCTCCTGCACATATGGCTTATACCCTGGTTCTTGTATAAATAAATAAATCCTTAAAAAAATGTTCCTTTAAAAAAAAGAAAAATAAGGCTGTGTAAAAGAACAGAATGGCGTGGTGTGTATGGGGAGGCGGTGCCATTTCCAATAGGATAGTGAAGAAGGATTCTATATGATAACTGACATTAGCACAGAGGCCAGAAGTAGAGAGCAATGCTGGTAATTATCTGAAGGAAGAGTATGACAGGCAATGGAAATAGTGAGATCAAAAGCCCTAGAGATGATCCTGCTTTCTAGTTCGAGGAATAGCAAAGAGAGAGTAACGTTGGAACAAAGAGGGTAAGTAGAAAGTGGTAGATGAGGTCAAAAGGCTAACAGTGAGTGAGTTGTATAGGGTCTTAGAGGCCAAGACTTACTAATGAGGACTTCATGTATTATTCAGAGTGAGATAGAAAGCTGTTGGAAGATTTTCTGGCTAGTTCTCTGCTTGTGAATAGGCAAGAGTGGGAGCAGGGAAATTAATTAGGAAGCTGTTGGGATAAGCCAGGAAGAAGTTGATGGTATTTGGATCAGGGCATTGGAGTGGATTTGGTGAGAAGTGCTAGTATATTTTGGAGATTGAGATAACAGGATCTCTTGAAATACTGGATATTGGGTTTTTAATGAGTGGATATTCAAGAATGACTCCAAGAATTTTTATTAAAAAAAAGGTTGGAGAAGTCATATACTCAAGACTGATACAAGAATGACCAGATTTGGATGATAAGACTCAAGAGTTGTGTTCTGGAAATGATATATGTCAGATGCCTATTAGTCATCCAAACAGAGATAATATACCAGCATTCAGATAAATGAATCTGGAGTTAAAATGAGAGGTCAGGGCTTACGATACAAATTTGGAGATTTAGGATATAAGACTGTGAGAAATTACCCAAAAGTGTATAGAGAACTGGACATTCCAAATTTAGAGCTTGGGAAGATGAAAATGATTGCGCAAAAGAGACTGAGAAAGAGCAGTCAAAATAGGAAGAGAACCAGAAGTTGTTTCAATCTCTCTCTCTCTCTCTCTTTCTCTCTCCTCTGCCCCCTTTCTTGTAAATCTGCTGACATCATTTTCTGAATCTGAAAGGAAACTCTTTATTGAGGTATCATGAGTTATGTATACGACATACTTCTAAGAGCAAATGGACAAGAACAGAGATATTAATGTTCTTGACTCCTCACTCCCTCCCCCAACTGCAAACTGCTCTCTAAATGTTTTTTAAATGTATTCTATCATAAAAATAATATTAGAATTGAGATTAGCTAGACTTAAAACATGTCCTCAAGATGCTTTCAGCAGATAAGAAATGTATACAAATACAGTGCAAGATTTCCCTGAAGGTTCTGTGGGCTTTCTATTTTGTGTAATAAGAATTATGCAAGAAACTCAGGGAGAAATTTGATGCTCAATTTAAGATAGTTATGTTAAAATTGAGCTTGACATTTATATTCTGCTTTTTGTTAGTTTTTACTTCTATTTGTAATTATTATAACTACTATTATTATTATTCTCAAATCCTCCCTGGAATGAATAGAGATTAAAGTTAAGAAAAATGTACTGGGACATGGGAGTTAAGAGGACAGATAACTTACCTTCTCATCATTCTAATTTTCCCCCACCACATTCCTTGACTTTCATTTATATCTGTCTATAATATATCAGTATCTTAGGAAGAAATTAAAGCATCTACAAAAGTATAGACATTAATTTTTTAAAAAGATTTATTTATTTATGCATACAAGAGCTGGAGTGTAGGTCAGAGGTGGCGGGGTGAGAGGATTTACCAGAGACAGAGTGGGGAGCATAACAGGCAGATCTACTGAAATACACTGCTGAGGGGAACAGCATGTGAGACAGGAGAGGTCTGCTGCACCATGTGGGTCAGCTCCCTGGATGGGGATTGAACTTATGCTGCAGTGGCTGCAGATTGCTTCTTAGTGCTGCATCTTAACCCCTTGCACCACCATGGATGCCCAACATTAATTATTTTTAACCCATACATAAGCTGTTCATCACAGGACTTGTTTTCTTCCATTCAGAACATATCTAGATAGAAGCTCTCTGCTTATTTTTTAAATGTTCCACATCATCCTGGAGTCTCTCACTGCCTTATTTTAAACCAACTCTCTACTCACTGAAGGGAAAAAAATTAAACAGAGTGGAATGGGGGAAGAAATGAATTCAGAATAGAAGAATTCTATTTAAGTATTATATAAAAATTTGTAAATTCTAATGACTATTACCATAGTAATCCTAGTCTTACCGAAACAAGAACTGTAAGAATATCTTAGATCTTTATGATCTAAAATAAATCTTTGAAAATACATAAATTTATGTCTTTTCAGTTGCTCTTAACCCTTGTGTGTATTGATCAGATTGTGAAAAGATTTCCATGATAACAAACCACAAATTTCAGCACTCTGCGACAATAAATAGTTGTATTTCTCCTGTATTGTTATAACTGCATATTGGCTGGGGCCCTTTTGCAAGTGTGTCCTCATTTTGGAATGAGAATCAGCCCCTGCCTGGGACACATTGTTCTCACAGTAGAAGGCATATGGCGATTGCAGAACCACAGAAAGGAGAAAACTCCCTGGAAGAGGCACATTCTACTTCTACTCACTTTTCTTTGGCCAAGTCTGCTGTCAGTGGGGTTTGGGAAAAATAACCATATCACAGGAAGGGGCAGTGAAAAACTCTGACAATACTGCTTTCTACCATTCTGGAAGACAGGGCAGCATGATTATGATCATGATGTTTTTAACCATTATTAGAAATCTCACAGGATTCTTTATCAGGAGTTTCTTAGGAAGCTCATGATAGGGAAAGTTAGAATAATAAATAACCAATGGTCTTTTTAATTCCCTCTCTAAAAATTTAGAGTGGTTAGCTCTGTAGTAATAAATTCATTCTTTTGATGGAGAAAAACATTTTACTGTATGACATCTCTAAAGCCAGCTTGAGTGGCAGTTGATGTGTACTAAACTTATGTTTTTCAGTGAGTAACACTTCAGATGAAGACAATGATAATGTTGGACAACCCAATGAGTACAACCTGAATGACAGCTTTCTAGATGATGAGGAAGAAGAATATGAGCCAACAGATGAAGATTCTGATTGGGAACCAGGAAAGGAAGACCAAGAGAAGGAAGATGTGGAAGAGCTTTTGAAAGAAGCCAAAAAGTTTATGAAAAGAAAAAAGTGACCCTTCTCTGCAATAATTTATGGCTCCCATTAACTCAACTTTATGGAGGAAAATTTCAGGAACTAAGGAGGCACTTAGTCAACAATTGTTTTCCTTCTTTTTATAGTTATGACTTTACTATTGACTCTTTACAAATGAAACATTGAAATGTCAACCTTCAATGAAGTGGATGGATTTTGTTTTGTTGCTTTGCCTTTTTTAATCCTCTGTAAAGTACCTGGAAGTAGGAAACAGAGAATTAAAGAGTGGTTATTTTTAATGTACATTGTGTGTTGGTAATAAAAAGTTAAAGCTACACAGGTTGCACAAAACTGTTTTTTTTTTTTTTACCTTTCCCCAGAAAGTCTGTCTTTATAGAATACTATGCAAGTATAACCAAACAAATTACATCATGAGTGAAAAAGCATGCTTTTTTCATTGCCATCGAAGTAATTCTTCAAGCAGAGCCAGATTTTGAAAAATGACAGCCATCATACAGTGATTATTTTTCTGATACCCTAGGTGTGAATTTTGCAATTTATTCTGTTAGTCTCACTCTTAGAAATGTGGGGAAATTAGAACCAAATGAATACTGAAAGTAAATTAGACTATAGAAATGTTCACCATGCAGGGAGTGTTATTTTGTGACCTACCTATGTAATTTACTGTATGTCTGTCTGAGTTTAAAGATAGAAAGACTCAAAGAATTTAATAGTTCCTTTTTCAACTAAAGTGCTCCCTGATTATTTTAACTCCCAATATGCTCCTTAAGAATATAGAAATGATGGGGCCTCCCTGGTGGCTCAGTGGGTTGAGCGCAGCACTGTGAAGCTATCCGCAGCCTCTTCAGCACAGGTTCAATTTCGGGCTGGCCAGGGAGATTCCCACATGGTGCAGCAGACCTCTCCTGTCATTCCTGCTGCTCCCCTCAGCAGTGTATTTTGGTGGTCTGCCTGTTCTGCTCCCTGCTCTGTCTCTGATGAATCCTCTCACCCTCCTGTGCCTCTGGCCTGTACCCCAGCTCTTGTATAAAAATAAATAAATCTTTTTAAAAAAGAATATAGAAATAAATTTTAACTCTAATTTTCTCAATGACAGATTTTTGTTTTGTTCTCAGATAAAAGTAGTAAGTTGTCTGCCAGATTTCAGAAACTCCTTTCTTTAATTTTATGAAGTATATATTTTTTCTTAAACTACTTTATCCCTGTAATTATCTTCATTTTAGGTGATTTAGAATTTCTGAAATATAGTAACATTTGGGTATGTGTACACAGTGTAGTGGGCATATTATTGAAATTATAAAACATTGAACCAAAAGTGTCCTTGTTAAACACTAACGTTTTCTATTCTTAGAGACCTAAATGTTTATATCTTCAAAGTGCAAGAAAATAATATTGATTATACTATTTTCTTAGTGCTTTCAAATATATTTCCAGGTGATTATATAGTATTAAAATTTACTTATGCTGACAAATAATAGATAAATATTGTTCAAGGCTATTATTACTTATCATTCTGACTTTGCCTCTATTGTTATATGGAAACTCATTTTCTCTTTCTGATGGGGATTTGACAAAACTGTGACTAAAATATTTGAACTTACTCTCATCCCTGCACTTAGTCCTTAAATATTCATTAATTCACTCAGATATTTTCCAAAGGAAAGTGGCAACATCTAAATGTACAATGAGCTGATGAATGGATTAATAAAATCTGGTTTTGTGGGTATCCTTGAAAACAATTTCCAGTGGGAATGTGTGTGGGCTTCTCCACACCAATAAGCAATTTTCAGACACCATCAGTTTGTCCTAAGAATTCAACTCAGTTATGGCTGAGAGAGCTTCAGATCCCACAGATTCAGTCTCCCAAAATCATCTTCCATTTAAGATGACAACTGCAAGGCCATTATGCCACCTGGGTTTTTGACCAATTGGCTGCAGTTGGGAGGTTCCCATAACCCTCTCTTCCTCACCCTTCAGGTGCTCGTCCAAGTCCAGTTTATTACCTGTGCTTCTGACCAACAGGCTATAAACTGAGATTACTAGGTCACCTTCCTCAGGTTCAATTAATTTGCTAGAGTGGCTCACAAAACTCAGGAATCTCATTTAGTCACTAGATCACTGGATTACAAAGGGATCTAATTCAGAAAGAGTCTGATGAAAGAGAGATACATAGAGCAAGATAAGGGGGAAAGGAGTGGCGTGCCCATGCCCTCTCCAGACGTGCCATTCTCCCCAAATGTTCACTTGTTTACCAATCCAGAGCTCTGGATCCTCCTCCTCACAGGTTTTTCTGGAGTCTTTATTACACAGGTCAGACTGACTAAACCATTGGCCACAGGCAATTAAACTCAACCTCAAGCTCCTTTACTCTCCCTGAAAGTTAGGGGGCAGGGCTAAGAGTCCCACTATTAATACTGGTTTCCTTGGTAACCAGTTCTCATCCTCAGGTATTCCCCAAAGTCATCTCATTCACCTAACAGGAGCCACCTATATCACTCCCAACACTTAGGATAGTCCAAGGTTTTGGGGAGCTGTGAGCCAGGAGCTGTGGATGCAGACCAAATATATGTAAGAAATGTATACTTTGGTCATCTGAATGACCAAAGATATGTATTTTATTACACTATTGCTGTAGCATATTTAAACAATGGATTTTTTTTGGCTATAAGAACTGAAGTATTGATACATACTACAACATGGTTGTATCAATACTATTGATACATACTACAACATGGTTGAACTTGACAACACTATGCTAAGTGAACTCATTTATGTGAAATGTCCAAATTAGGCAAATTGATGAGATAGAAGGTAGATTAGGCTATGGAGAGTGACTGCTAATGGGTAGAGGGTTTATTTTTGAAATGATAAAAATGTTCTAAAATTAGTGGTTTGGGTTGTACAAGTCTGTAATATCCTAAGATCCACTGAATTGTATACTTTCAAAGGATGAGTTTTATGCTGTATGAATTATATACCAATAAAGCTGTTATAAAAAAAGAATGCTAAAAGATGACACAGTTTTTTTTACGGAAAAACATTTAATAATAGAACATATTCTTGATAGTAAAGTAATGTAATAACTCTTGGTAGCAATTTTTTAAAGGATAGTTTGACATACACTGCATACTAATCCTAAAGACACTGAGTAGAACTAATATATAAAAAAACAACTTAATTCACTAAAGTGTAATGAAAAATTGGCACTTGTAATTGGACTCTATTTAAAATTTTTTAAAGATTTATTTATTTATGCATATAAGAGCTGAAGTACAGGCCAGAGATGGGGAGGGACTGTGTGTGTGAAAGGATTCACTGGAGACAGAGTGGGGAACAGAACAGGCAGACTGACTGAAATACACTGCTGAGGGGAGCAGCGGGCAAGTCAGGAGAGGTCTGCTGCACCATGTGGGTTGCTCCCTGGCCGGCTGGGGATTGAACTTGAGCTGCAGAGGCTGAGGATTGCTTCATAGTGCAGTGCTTAACCCCTTGCACCACCAGAGAGGCTCTATTTAAATTTTTGATTTCCATAATAGAGGGGAAACTGATGACATTAAGTTGTCAGTGGGCTCAAGAACATTAACAAAAAATTGATTCTTCAATTAATTGCCATCCTAAATAGTGGGTAAGATTGAAACTATCTTCCAGCCTCCTCTATCATGGTATATATTGTGTATATATTTCTCACCTGTGTGCTTAATTCTAAAAGCAAATATTTTTGTGTCCTTTTTTTATTAATGTATAATAACATAAGTTTCAGATGTGCATTACTAAAAATCAATGTCTGTCTATTATATTAAAGTCACCAATTCTATCCTCCTCCATACAATTGGCCCTTTTTACCCAATTGACCAACCCCTGACCCTCTTCCCTTCTGATAAACACTAATTGGTCTCATAGTCCAAAAGTTTGTTTTTGTCTTATTAGTTCATCCATTGTTTGGCTTCCCTATGTACAATATGTGAGTGAAATCATCTTGCATTTGTCTCTCTCTGTCAGACTTACTTCACTAACCATAATATCCTCTAGTTACATTGTATTGTTGAAAATGGCAGTATTTATTTATTTATTTATGTCTGAATAGTATTCCATTGTGCATACATTCACATCTTTATCCAGTCATCGGTCAATGGGCACTTAGGTTGTTTCCTTCTATTGCCCATTGTAAATGCTGCAATAAACATGAGGTGTTGCTTATATTTCTTTGAATTGGTGTTTTGTATTTTGGGAATAAAGCACCAGAAGTGGGATAACTGGATATATGGAATTTCTCCTTTTAATTTTTTGAGGAATCGCCATACTGAAAAAGCAAAAAAAAAATTTTTGTGGACTTCTTAACAAGAATTGGGTTTTCTGGGACCTTGGAAAACAGGAGATAAGATTTTTCCGTGATACAAGATACATATTGTAATGGAAACTGTAAGCACAATTTTTCCTAAATGGTGATATAAAACTGAGAAAAAATGGATAGTGACTTCCTTCCAAATAATCCACTAACACAACCTAAGGAGTGAGAAGCCACACACCCAGGTACATCCAGTCCTGCTCTGATACCATCTCATTCCTATTAAGTGTTCTTTCTTGAGATGGAATCTATAATGGGGTATGTATCTCTAGCATTTTCTTGCCAGTCTGCAGACCCAACTTACAAAACTATACCTCTGCAATTGGTAGTGAAAGGAAAGTTATAGTTAATTATTGCAGAGATCATTACTGGTATATGATTGGTCCCTCACAAAGCCTCAGATAGGCTTTCTTAAATATGCCCAGAGCAGGCCTCTTCCAATAAATGACACCTTGATGTGAAAAGCCAATTGAGGCCCTGTGGGCCTTGGGAAGTCTGTTACCATTACTTAAAGAAAGCAAATTATTTTAAGCACATTGAAAGCCTTAGTGGGTGAAAAGAAATCTTGTCCTGGTCTCAGATTTTTCCTAATCAAAGAGGCAATCACTTCTCCCCCTTTTCATAACCTGGGACAAACTTTGCAGGGCTAGGTTTACTGGTGGATATGTCCCCCTTTCTGAGAATCTCATCTGTTTACTCTCAGAGTAAAAACTGAAGTCACCCCCTCCTCATCATGTAAAGTACTCCCCTTTCCTTGATACTCAGGTTCCTTAACAATGAATATATATATTCCTGGTTTTAACCATTTTAATTGAGAATTTTCAGCCATATGATCTCAAGGATGGGAAGAGAAATTATTGCCAGATTCAGAGCTTTTTGGGGTTCCTTTATTTCCTTAGTTTACTCTTGTGGGGGGATTCAAATTATACTTTAATAGGAAGATTTTTTTAAACTTTAATTAACTTATTTAGCTCCTTTATTTCTAATGGAAGGCCCTGTTCCAGTAGGAAAAGTGGTCATTCTTGTCTGTATTGCGGGGTCTAACTTCTGCGAGGGTGGGGAATATCTCTTTTTCTCACATAATACTTAGCTCAATGCTGTACACACAGTTGATTCTCAGTAAATGTTTGCTCTAGTGAATTAGATTTATATCTTGTGACTTGAGAAAATGACTACGCTAGAAGAGAAAGTAATTTACACTATAGCCAACAGAATCCAAGTCCACATCAGCTGAAACACAAATCCATAACACAAGAAACATCAACATTTCTATCATAGCCACTGACAATACCCAAATTATTGAGTCACAACACTGCAAATGAAAGTAATGAACAATTTGTGTGTATATTAATGGAATATATGTTACTATATTTGCGCTGATACGTGTATATGATACTGAGGTTAAGATTAAGAACTTCTCTTTAGTCAGATGTGCACTTGACTATTTCCATTTTTAAAGTTATATTGTTTTTATTTAATTCAATTTAACTAAAAAATAATTTCTTTTGTGTGGCCATCATTGTGCTGAAAAAAAAAAAAACACTAAAAGCTGTTTAAAATGTGTTTAATCACGCCCTTTAGTTTCTTGAATTGACAACAGGCTAGCTAATGTGCCTGAATGTTTCTACTTGGTTCATTAACTCCCTGTCAGATACTAACTTTTGTCGCAAAGCATTTCAGTTTTATCATATAACTGGAGGATATATATTGGCTGAAAGCATAAAGTTGCCATCATTTAATTTTATCACTGAAAGAAGCTTTAAAATTGATTGAGAAGCAACACGGACTGTAGGAGAACATTGACTGTAATTTTAGTCAATGATGCATTGCTTCCCCTGTTATATTCCAAAGTGTAAAGGATCATCAAAAGATATGGTAGAAACTGCATCCATAGACACAACTTAATCTAAAGGCAATTTTTGTGTGTAAGAGCAATCTATTTTTATTAAAAATCTAAAATTTCAGGGCCTCCCCTAGTGGCGCAGCGGTTGCGCGCTGGGCTGCGAGGCTGCCTGCAGCTTCTGTGGCGCAGTGTAGGGTAAAGAAAATATCAGGCTTTTCTGCCCTTCCGCCATCAGGATAGATGATGGATCCTTGTCCTGAATGCATGCCTGATGGCGGGCACCTGGAGTAGGGTGTGGGCATAGGTAGATGGGATTCAGCTGAGCTAAGACTGTGCTTTTAAGGGCAGCGTCACGGGGACGCCAGCAGCAGCAGTAGAAGCTGAAGCCGAACCCGAAGCCGAAAGAGAAGCCGAGAAGCAGCAGAATGAACGCTAGAGAGCCCAGATAGAGTAAAGACTTGCTGAGGGCTGGGAGGCTGGCAGGCCTCCCAGCCCCCCAGCCAGCACCCCTGCCTGCCATATGCCTGGTGAACCCCAAATAAAAAACCTGCAAAACTACTGAGGACTCTGACTCCTCCTTTACCCGGTCTGCATGGGATCAGAAAACCTGCACCGTGTCCAGGTCCTGCCCTTACACGCAGGTTTGCAGGTTTTTTCCCCGGCCGCCGGCCAGGGTCCCACAAAAAAAAAAAAAAAAAAGAAAAACAAAAAAACTAAAATTTCATTTAAAAAAAAATCAAAGAAAACAGATAAGTAGAAACATCAACATAAAAATCACCCATAACCACCACTACCTTCAAACCATCACTAACTCTCTTGAATGTTCTATTCCCATTTTACTATCGGTAAATTAATGATTAGAGATATTAAGTGAATCCCCCCAAAGTTCCAGAGGAAAAATTAGTAGTAGTGGAGGTTCTAAGAGGGGATGACAAGGGATTTAGGTCTATTCCTCATTCATTCTATGTTGAAATTTCAAGTACTTCCTTCCAAACTACCAAGTCCTTCTACCTTCTGAAGCTGCCCCTAGTTGGTAGTGGTGAGTTCAGAGAGAAAACAGTTTACATGATGCCCAGGCCCATTCTCTCATGCCTAAACTTATATATATGTAAAATAAGGTCCAATTTTGTTTTATTTTTTTAAAGATTTATTTATTTATGCATACAAGAACTGGGGTGTAGGCCAGAGGTGTGGGGTGGGGGGGAGGTGAGAGAACTCACCAGAGACAGAGCGGGGAGCAGAACAGGCAGATCTACTGAAATACATTGTTGAGGGGAGCAGCAAGCAAGACGGGAGAGGTCTGCAGCGCCATGGCCATGTGGGTTAACTCCCTGGCCTTGTACTCATGCCGCCTAATGGCTGGTGATAGTTTGATAGCACTGAGACTTTAATCCCTGCGCCACCAGGGAGGCCCAGAAGGGTCCAGTTTTAACCCTGTGCTTTAATCTTTCTTCAGGGCACTACTTTAGCATGTCGATACTCAATGTCAGATTAAAATAATCATCAGCCCTACTGAAATCCATCCTCTTAGTGTACACAGGCCTTTTTTTTTTTTTTTTTTTTTTTTGCTGAATTTGCTATTTAAAAGAATGAGATAAATCAGTAAGGGAATAAAATAGATGTCAACTTGGCTTCATTCTTTCAGTGATAAATAAAGTATTTCTGAAAGAGGAGTTCCTGATTAAAGATGAAGGGATCTTGTCATGCTAATTTCCTCCAATTGCTTCCTGCCTCTGTCACTGCCAGTGACTGACAGCTGGCTTAATAATTAAATTGAAGCAGTGTTTACTTTTCTTGACCTTTACTGAGAAATGAATTTTCAAGCTCTGGACATGACTAGAGTGCTTTAATTGAGGGAGAATAATGTGTTTGCATCATTCCTAGCA